TCATTTATATTCCATTATATTTTGTATTTCAGGATTCCACTTGTGTTCTGTGCACTTTTTAATATATTCGCACTATGTATTCGCACTATGTTTATCCGGCTGCATTGTGCGTGCTGTCTTTGCACCATGCGTCTTGTTTTGCACTAAATGCTTACGCGTCGCTGTTCCACGCTCCTTGCTGCTGTCTGCACAAGAAATTCCCTCTGGGATCGATAACGTTCATCTGATCTAAACTAATCTATGGCTTAAAGCATTTCTGGGGTTAAAGTTTCAGGCATAAGCTAGCAAGGTAAACAAACCCTCGTTAAAGCGAGTAAAAACGGCCTGATCGCCAGGCATGGGTAAGGACATTCTCCGCATCACATTGATCCATCGTGGCAGTCAATCTACATAGCATGGCACCTCCAGAGCCCCCTCTCCGCTGAACGACATCCACAGGAACTTCAGGAACAAGTGTCAGAAAAGCAAGACAACAACGGTCACACCTCCCGGGCGGAAATCCACCTGGAATGCTGATGGGCGGCATTGCTGGATAGCAAACAAGGAAGTCACCCTAGGTGCTCCTTCAGCTGACGTCATCGCCACATTTAGCTCTGCCGATCGACTGCTCTGGTGCCGGAATGCAGCTTGGGCTACATAATCACCACCATTACTGGCTTTCAGTCTCGTCAGAGTGATTTAAAGACTTAAATATGTGTAAATGTATTACAAGCGTATAATCCAATGAACATAGTGTGTCAGTCTGCATAGGATATGCACGGTTAGCTCCAGCTCCCCTATGAACTTCCCCCACCAAGACCTTCTCAGCTGCTGAGACTTTTTGTTAAGTTGTTAAGGTTCATGTTTCCTCCACATGCTGAACTCTTCTCGCATGTTTCTGTGTTGGTACAGCTTCACTCTGGTTCCGTTTCGATCCAGCTGCCTGACAACGTGACACAATACAAGGGCCCCGACGCCTCCTAGTGGTCGACATCACAGCACGCCTTCAACCAACCTCTGCCAGTCTGCCAAGCTGTGCAGCAAACATGTCATCTGCCATGCAAGCAGCATGGTGCACACCCATTCCACAGTCTGTTTGGAAGTTTCCGGAGCATCCAAATGGTCATTGCCAGACACCAACAGCTTCTTCTTACACTTGAACATTCTTCAATTACACCACTCTGCACATTTGCACTACACTGTACACATGCACAAAATCAAACAGTTTTCTACACGTTTTATATTGTATTGTGCTGTTGATGTTATACATTTACTTGCTGTATTTGTATTTATGTCTAGCAACAGAGGGGGCCCAAGGACAATGGAAAAACTCTTCGGTGTTGAGTCTTGAAATCGCCGTTTCCGAGTCCCGCTAATGGATGTGCTGGTGCGTCCCACCGCTGACAGTAACAAAGCTGCATCTCGCCACTGCCGATCTCCGAGTGCCGTGGAGACAGCAGACGTGGCTACACTCATCTGACAGCACCTGTCACTACCAGAGTTTGGCCACAGCTTAGAGACGGGCTGGCTTCTGTTCCTGGCGTCCACAGCTAGATCACTATAGAAAATCAAGTTCTCTGACCTGATGATCCAGCTGATCAGCATAACTAAAACCCCCAGCATTGCGCTATATGAGTCTGACACCACTAGGGGGCGCTGTGTGGCTCAGCCTTTTAGGATGCTGTGCCTGTGATTGGAAGGTCTCACACAGGCCTGCAGTTAGGTGACTAAAGGTGGTTAAACGTCCATTTGTGTGTGCCTTGCGGCAGGTGTTCCCTGCCTTTGTCCCTGTGGTGGCTACGAGAGGCTCCCATAAGCCTCTGCAGGATTCACAGTTAGAAGATCAATAGCCTTCAGTAAACTAACCTAGATTCCTCCAGTAACACTTCCATTTATAGGTGAGCCGATGAGTTATTGTAAACAAAGCTGCATATCAGTGAATTAACAAAAGCATTCCGTAAGCACGATCTTTAAATAGTCAAACAGCTACAATAGGAACCAGTTCTAGCTGTTAATATCTGAATTGTTAAAGCCCTCTACAATGACCATTGACATCTAACAATAAGTGTGAATTTTCAAACATATCAACCATATCCAACGTACTGGACTATGGCTCCTCACACATTACATAATGTCCTTCCGGTTGAGTGTTTGTGTGATGCCAATCTTCTGGACCATAATGTCACTGTGAGTCAGGCATCACACCACGTTCCTGTGCCAAGATGTACATCAGAGCTCAAGCAAGAGCTACATTCCACCTTATCTAACGTTACATAATTATCTACGACATAATGTTTCCATGTCGCTTACCAGCTACACATTTTTATGTATTATCAATCTATTAAAAGGGAATGATTTTAAGGACAATACACTAAAATATAACATATTATAGTCCTTATTCAGCTTTATAATAAAAGTCTTCCAAACTATTGACTTGTCTGAAGAGCACTGTGGGTGTAGATGACCATTCAGCTAAGCAAATGAATTTTAACAAATTCCCCGAATATGTTTCACTAACCGCAAGATGCTACAGAGCAAAACCCAGGTGTACGAGCAGCATGACATGTGGCCTCAGAGCGCGAATCACTGCCGGCACGCGCCTGGCAAACACACCTCACGTGAGAGGCCGGCCAAACACAACCATCCTGCGGGCCCCTTACACATAGAGATCTCGGTTTTTAAGGGAATCCAAAACAGATCAGAAGCAGAAATTAGAGCTTACAAAACAGGAAACTACATTCTCATGGTAATGAAAGTTCTCTACCAAAGAAAAGCTTCAAACAGTCCCATATTCATGGACACACAGGCACGCTACTATCTTAAAGCCGATGCAAAGGAAAATTTGGTTTGCAAAGTGCAAACTCAAAGTCAGTTTGACACTTCCTATTTCCAGTTCCACCGGTAAGTGCTGAAGCAGTCAATGCATTGCTACCTATTGTCATGTTATCAGAGAACAAATCTTTTACTGACAAATGTGAAATAGCGTAGAATGCAACAAAAAATTACAACCATGAGCCATAAACAATAATATTAATCTGTCAGAAAGAGGCAATTTTATACCACGGTATATGATATAAAACCTGAAATACAAGGAAATATGTAGACATATTTCTGACAATACTTGGGCGTTCAGCGGAAAGGGGGCTCTGGAGGTGCCATACTATGTAGATTGACTGCCATGATGGATCAAGGCTTGGCTATTAATAAAACCGTAAAGGCAGTATTTATTTTAACCTATGACAATATCACAGTGTTTTTATAATTGCCCAAGATTGTTCAATCAGCCTCGCAAAAAATACCCATGAGTCCCCAAATCCTTCTTTATCAGCCATTGCAGAATGACTCAGTCTGTTCTTGTGATCTTGAGTAGGCATGCGAAATGAAATCAGACTTTATTTGCGTGAGGTGCAAGCTGTGTTTACACAGTTTAGTGCACAGAGATTTTATAGTTTGTTCCAAACGTGTGTAAGATACTACTTTCTTTTTTTCACTTACTTTTTTCTGTAAATAAGTGCACACAAGAGTCATCGTGGTAAACAAAGAAACCCAGAGCCATAGCGCTCTAGAATTTGAACTGATACCAAAAAGACACAAAGAATCCCTTAGATACGTTTTAAAGGCAATACCCTGTATAAAAATCTCACGATTGCTTTGCTTATTTTTCATTATTGTTAACACTGATTTTTAATTAACTGGTGACCTGGAGTCTGTATCAGGCAGCATAGGGTACAGGGCAGAACGCACCCTGGAGGGGGGGCCGGGACACATGCACACACTCATACTATGGGCAATTTAAGATGACAATTTACTTAACTGTATGTCTTTGGACTGTTAACAGTAGGACACCAGAGTCGCTGGAAAATAATAATAATAATAATAATAATAATAATAATAATAATAATAATAATAATAAATAATAATAATAATAATAATAATAATAATAATAAAGTACACATTGATACCGGATGCCCTGTTTCCTTTAAACACTCTTTGTAATAAATGAAAAGATCTGCTGATAGCTTCCTAGCCAGATTTTACCCGCCCTCACATGATCCTTTCCTGTGCTTCTGCCCGCAGCTGCTGAGTGACCCTTGACTGAACGGACTCCTACGTGACACAGGAGACAACTGTCTAAACAATGCACGCGAGAAAGGAGGGCAGATCGGCCTGCTTGCATACCACAGATAACCTACACTTGAGTCGCCTTGTCAGAGGAGCCAAACACGAGTCTGTTCATTATAGATAGAAATACCTGGGCTGAGCAAAGGAAAGTGCGACGCGTAAAGGTTTGGACGGGAATCAAAGGATCAGTCACGTGACGCAAACACATCGCAGTAAAGGATGTAACTTTGGATGGGCAAGAGGAGAGAGAGAAGGGATCACAGTCAAAGTGAATACAATGATCAGATCATGATTTCACTGCATCTAAATTAATGTTGCACAGTTCATCTAAGCAGTATTTGAACCTGGTACAATAGATCTGGATAACTTTTGCACCCCGATAATGACATGACTCAGCTAACTGAACAGCAAACTTGCTGATGCTACCCCCCTCCGAGCAACTGCAGTGAAGTGTCCCATTGCATTCGGAGACAGCTGGCTGAATGTGAGGCATATATCTGTGCGAGAAAAACAAGTCTGTGGAGATTTATTTTCGCATGCCTGTCCGTTCTGGCTTGACATAGGTATTCATGACGGCTTCATAAAAGGTATACGTATGAACCCCTTAAAAGTCACCAGATGTTAAAATCCGCACTCCGGTTTACCGGCAAGCAGAAACTTTATTCCGATACAGAGTAACTGTACTGCGCTGTCAAAATCCTTACCGATCAAGTTTTTCAGTGCCGATCGTCACTAAAAACATCCCGAAACTCGCTTTTCATAGCCACAGAAGCCAAACAACAGGTGCGGGATCAAATAAATTAATTATTTATTTGCTTAAACGGTGAAGGTTAACCACCCGATCGACTCTGAAACAAAACATTACGGGAAAAAAACAAGCATTTAAATACCCCACTCACTTGTTAATAGATGAGTGTCCGTGGGACACAGCAGAGGAGAAAGTGTCCTCTGCCAAGTATATCCTAGATGGGCCATATGAGAGGTACGACTTCAGAATGACGCTTCCCGAGTCTTTCAGCTCCATGCTGAGACACGCATCACCTTCCAGCAGCTGCCGGATCGGAGCGAAGGTCTTCATCCACTTACTCGGTTCCCCTCTTTCATAAATACATGCAGCGAGGCTTTTGCCAGCTTTGTGCCCCGCTACACCGCAACCCGATACTGCCTCCATCGCCCAGCCAAGCCATTTCAGCTTCTCATTTGCATTGCCAGCCCTCGGCGTAGCGCTGGACACGCCTGCCTTTACTCAGCTCAGACACCGACACGCATGCAAACCGCCTGGGAAGCAGTAACCTTTCGGCTGCATGATATGCCGCTTTATATATCCGGGAGCGGCCAGGGTGGCGGGTAGGCCTCACACCCCCCGGTGTTGTGGGATCGCATCCTAGCCCCTGTGCTGTGTGTTTAGTTTGAATTTAATCCCTGTGCTGCACCAGCTTTCCCTTACACTGCAAAGACATGCAGCTATGCTGCTGGGTGTGTCAAGCACACAAATCTGTGTTTTAAAGAGTGAAACAAGACCCATTAAACACTTAAAAAATTATCAGCCTCCAAACAGGAAAATAATATGCAATGTACTGATTTTAAGATAGAAGATTTACTCCTAATTAATTGCATTTTAATTACTTTTGATGAGAATTACTAAGATTTTTCGGAGGTTTGGCGAGTGGTTTGGTTAGTTTAGTAAATAACTGGATTCTTCTAAGCATTTGGTGTCTGTGTTGGTGTGTAGAAGGACAATAAAAAGAGATAAAGATCATCATGCAGTGCAATCGGAGCTTCATGTTGCACTCTGGGAATATATTGAATTATTCCCACCTGAATAACCTTCATTTAATAAACCTTTCATTTACAGTATCTGCAGGGAGGCTCTTGGGATGATCATTGGCTGTCTCTGAAATGATAAGTGACTTGTGACTTTTTTTTTTCTTTGGCTCGGCTGCTAGGCTCTGCATTTTCCAGTGAGGCGTTGACGTTCTGACCTCTGCTGCCCACCAATCTTGAGGTGTTTCAGGGCCTGACAGCCATAAATCATCCAGGAGACTGACCCAGGTAAACAACAGCAGACACGCACCCCCTCACCTGTGCCTGAGCAAATATTAGGCTCTAGGAGGTGTGAGAATGTCTGGTATGTTACAGAAAATAACAGGTTGTAGAGAAGTATAAGCATGTAACTTAGCAGCAAGTAACTATGCCTCCTTTATGGTGTGTTTATTAAATAACTAACCCAAACAAGTAGCTTTGATTTTTAAAAATGAATTAGCATTAGGAAGTCACCTATTAGTTACAATAGAGTCTTCGTAAAGTTTACTATTCCCTAAGTAACATTTTCAAAGTCTGGCCAACTTAAACCGAAGGATAATTTGGCTTAAGTTACATGTTTTGTCCCAGCTGCTTTGGGCCCGAATCTCTCCCATTCCGGATGAACAAAAGAGGGCGAAACGTCTCACTGCCGAAGCGGATCTGCGTGTTTCTCAATTTCCCAGTGACACAGGGTCTGGTGAGGCTTTTCCGCCCACAATCCCGAAAGACGGCCTGTAGGCATGTAACGGGAGAGAGCAGTGTTTGGGGCTACGTGAGCCTTGGGGCAAAGAGGAACAATTTGTGCTAAGCTGAATGCTCCATTGCAACTCCTCCTAATCAGTATGTTTATGTCCATAAAATCATTGTTTTTCAGGTCTGCAGAAAATACGATAAAGTTCCTTAACTCCCTGTGTCCGCAGTGGGTCTGCAGTTAGTGTGATATGTGAGCACCATACTATATACATACACACACACACATACATATATACGTATATCGATAGATAGATAGATAGATAGATAGATGATTGATTGATTGATTGATTTATTGATTGATTTAATTGATATTTTATTAATCCCAAAGGAAATTGCAGGTTTACAGTAACACAACACAGACATTTACACAGTGAAAATGCATTTATATATTGATAGACAGTAGCAATAAATAAATTGACAACAGTAAACCGTAACCATGCAAAGCTACTATAAAGGCAGGACACTGGCGTTTTGGCAGGGAGTGATGGATAAGATCATTCTCACAATAGACCCTTATCTGTCCCTTAGCATTTCGAATTTCTTGTTCATAGGGAAAAAAGAGGTGGAAGTGAGGGTCAAATAAACAACAGAAGGACAAATAAACACAGAAGAAGATTAGCGGAGGGTCGAAGCCGTGAGATATCGGCGAGGGTAGATGCAGTGTCTTCAGGTCGTGACCCTCTTCCTGACTTTAGCAGCAAAGGTTGGTGCTGTGCTGTTTCCTTTAACTCTTAACTGGAAGAAAGTTTCAGACTGAGTAACGCGTGGCTCGAGTCGAGCCAACATGCTATTACTGCTTAATATGAAACTGTTCTGCCCTAAACCACGTGCAGAGTTCCATTCATACTTTCTATTCATACTTTAACTAACCAAACATGAGCTAGAAAAAGTACTTGGCTAACCAGTCATGCATTTTGATACAATTAGACCAGCTACCCTAAGGAATCCTGTTAAGACCAGAATACTGTTTTCACTTAATGACTAAGTTAGTCATACTGCGCTTCACCAGACCATATTTGGTGTTCTGTACCTCGTCTCCTCCACATGGTGGAATGTGAGGATGCAATACGACTCTCTCCAGGGGGAATTTGGCTTTATCTTAGGTTTAGCAGGAGAAACGGTGAACTCACGGTGACTTAACGCTGTCCAGCTTGGTACAGCAAACTCCTAACCACCAGTATCAACAAAAAATGTCTTTGATCAGCAGAAATTAGTACCCAGAAAATACATTATACCCAGGCAATAGTCACTACGGATGAGTTTGTGATATCTGTAGGTAGTATGTGGTTGCGTGACTTAGGACTCTGTGCCCGTGACTGCAAGGTTGCTGCTTAAAATCCTCTGATTGGCAGGGTGGTGTCACCATTGGGCCCATGATCAGGGCCCTTAATTATAATTGTTCCAGCAACTGACTGACTTCACTTAGATGTTGCTTAACTGCATATGGTAATACATGTATGTAAGGTTTGTATCTTTTGTATTTTATTACATAAAGCGAATGAGCCTGGGGAGGCCTTAATGTAAATTGTGACTATCAGGTTTCCGTCCGCTTCCTCTCGCTCATTCTTACAAGCTGGGCTGTCCTATCAGAGTGCTCGTATTGTCGTCGAGGAATGGAAAACAGCAGCGGACCGTCGTGGGAACATACAGGCCGTAAAGTGTAAGGATCCAAGCCCAAAGTGGAGAAGATGGTCATGAGAGAGACGCCTAAAGTCTTCATTAGAGCAGTGCGGTGCTTCAGAGAGGAGCCACAGCACTTTGAAAGAGAGAACACAGGGCTAAAATAGCCTTATATGGGAATGTAGGGTAATCCCGTCCTGGGTGTACCATGGCCTTGGGTCCTGTGCTGTCTGGGATAAGCTCCAGCCCCCCCCCCCCCCCCCCCCCCCCCAAAGCTAGGATAAGTGCTTGGAAGATGGATGGGTGGAAACTGGTCTTAATTTTGAGACTTTCACATCAGTCAGCCGAAGCCTGAGATAAACAGGAGGAAACATACTCTGTGAGAATTCATCTGCAGATGTCCTCAAGGCAAATAAACCTGTTAGAAAACACTCCCATGATCCTGAGGATAAACAGTTAGAAGATGGATGGATGGATGGATGGATGGATGGAGCTAGAAAACAAGAACACATCATGTTTCCTCATTAATCTGGTTTCCCGGCAGATGCAAAGTGATTCCTTTTTTTCTGAGAAAACTATCTATAAAAAGAGGAGTATTTTTGTTATACTTGGTATAGTCATCTCCCTTTGCCATTGACTGTCTTCAATCAGAAAATCAGTAAATTAATGTGGCAAGAAGCTGAAAACATGATGTCTAGAATGAAGAGATAAGCTACCTCAATTATCAGATCATATCATCTTTACAGTGTTGATTCATCTGTTTCTTAAATCAGTTATCGTGTCAAGTTGCATTAAGAAACTGAATATCTACTTAATTATTGAGTTATAACATTGCTGAGATTTAAACAAAACTGTATATGAATATTATTTGCTATCAATTATAAAATATATCACATAAAAATTCAATTAAACATGATACACACCACTGCATCACCCAAAACAGAAAATACTAGTCAGTTACAGTCAATATCAATCAGAGACCTTTCAGGTTAAATTCTTGATTAGTTAGGATTTTTTTCTGTTAGGTCCAGTCTCTGAAATTACAGTTTTGAGGAAAAAGGTTGCAAGCTTAATCAGTTCTGGCAACCCGCTGGTTAACTGATAAGTTGCTACGTGTGCTGATCAAAAGTGATACGCCTGTAAAAGAAACGTTTGTGAACCCTCTTAGAGTTATCTAGATTTCTGCATGAATGACTCGTAAAATGTCTTTTGATCTGCATCATGATAGTCTTAACAGCCCACACAGACAATTAACACTGTCATATCTTTTCTGAGAAAATGGTTTAAACAATCGGGGTCATTGATGAGAAAAGCATGTGAACCCATATTTTTAGTTGCTAGGGGGAACCTCCTTCATTGGCAATAACCTCAATGAAATACTTCCTGCGGGTGCTGGTCAAACCTGCAATTAGGAGGTATATTAGGCACTTTCACACCACCAGAACTTTTTTCTGGAACCAGGAACTCAGGTTTTTTTTTTCTGATGCAGGAACTCAGCCTGATTGTAGCTCCTCAGAGGCAGTTCCAGAACCCTTTTTTAGTCCCTACTCTAGACTAGGTGTTTTTTTTTTTAAACACAAACTACTGGGGAGATGCTTACAGCGACAGCTTGCTGATTGGTTGACCACAAGCACCAGTGCTATCATGGAAGTTACACAGAAGTACAGCAAAAAGAGACGTTGCAGAGCAAATACTGGAAAAGGGTGGATTGCCCTCTCCTGGGAGGGGATGAGTTACTGCCTCAAGTGGAGGAGTGTAAGTATCTCGGGGTCTTGTTCAGGAGTGAGGGAGGAAGGGAGCGGGAGATCGACAGGCGGATCGGTACAGCATCAGCAGTAATGTGGAGGCTGTATCATTCTGTCATGGTAAATAGGGAGCTCAGCCAGGAGGCGAAGCTTTCAATTTACAGTTGATAAAACAGGGACATTCAGGAGAGGCTCAAAGTAGAGCCGCTGTGTCATGGATCCGGGCGGCTCGGGCACGGGAACGAGGCATGGTGCACAAAAAGGGCGGACGACCCACTGGCGGCTCCGAGAACAAAAGGGGTTTATTACATAAGACAGAAAAACTACAAACACAAAACCAAAAGGACCACGGGG